CAAACTGCATCAAACTCTAAAACGAAAGGCTGGTGAAGTATGTTATTGGCAAAGATTGTTGGTGCATGTTATCTTTAAGGTGTCTAGCATTAATATATGAATTCACATATATTCAGTTTGGTCACATGGAAACATGTTGATGGCAACAATAGTGACCGCTGGGATAATACAGTGCATTTAGGCATAGGCTACATATAAATCCAGTTGCGGTTGTTTGTGAAGGTTGCACTAAAATGTTGCAATGACAACGATACAGTGAATATTGCACTAAATTAAAAGTTCAAATGTTACAAATAAAGTACAATATTGATGTTGTAATACTGGTAGCACTAATATAACAATTCTATGAACTATGATACAATAAAGCAAAACTTGTTTGGATATTTTGTGGACTTTTATCTCAGTGTTCCTATCAGTGTTGTATAAGGGTTTTTTAATGCTTAATAGCAACCCTAGAATGTGTTGAAACAGTTTAAAATAGCTGGGCTGAGATATATAAAAATTCTGATGACTGCAGAAATATGTTGACTCAGTATACACATTATCCCTTTGATTATTTCAAAGGGTTACTAATGATGCATCATTTGATTATGTTCAGGTCTGGGAACATTTTGGGATTGAACGGGTTAAGTATAATTAAAGGTGCATTTTTTTTTTAAGAGCTTGGAAGAAAGATAAAAACATGCATGGCATACTATGAGTTATTCTAAAATGTAAAATGGCTTGAGAACCAGCCAAAGTGATCCAAAATGCCATTTTATTTCACAATGTTTGCAGCTCGAACAAACAGGTTTCCAGCTGCCACTTTACATCCGAGACTCACTTATAAAGAAGCACGGATTTATGGCACCCCTGTCTGGTCACTCTATGTATGGCAGCTGAGAAGGCCGATTCTTTAATTAAGAAATAAAAAGAGTATGAAATTGTTACATTTTATTTGAACAATTTAAATATGTTTCAACAATACACTTGGCAACATTAGACAATAGACAACATATTCATTTTCAATTGCTCTGCAAAGAGGGGATTTCAGCCTGGCAACGTCTTCAAAGTTTTGAGATCGTCTAAAAACCTTGTCTGGAAACCCTTAGAGTGTCTTCTTTAGAATACAACATAGGCAGAGGAGATCCATATAGGGTCAACAAATATGAAATCCACAACTGGTTTGTGAAAAGCCTAAAATCACCTCTTTAGTGATGTCTATGTAAACCCTCACCCAACAGATCTTTGTCTGATTTAATCAGTTTCATCCAGATCTTCATCATCTTCATCAGTATCTTCTTGAAGAGGGATCAGTCGGACAGTGCTAATTGCCAGAAATGTTCCAATAGCAACACATGCCCATCCAATCCATGCAGGCATCAGAGCCACTCCCAATCCCATTACCAATGTGGCCACATACATCCAGCCAAGCTGCTTTATAGCCTCTGTGGCATTAATACACAAAGGTCGCATGTTTGCACTTTGCAAGGACATTTTAAAAATAAAGAGTAAACATGCAGATATCAACACAGACACTGCAAGTCCCTTAAGCAGCATGGCTTGACCATGAACCATCTGCACAACCAGCGCCACAGCCAGAGTCGCTCCTGTACCCGTCCAGGCTAAGATCAGCCCACCTTCAGCTTCCATCCCTGGAGTTTGTACTCTCACTAAAACTGCTGTACCATATATGACAGCTAGAGTGATTGCTGCATCAAGAGTTGCAAATATTTGAAGTACTGTTTGTACAGCCTTTACATCCAGCCAGCCTTTTTCTGCTGCCCTGATGTTTGATACTTCATTAAAGAAAAAACTTTGCCAGCAAAGCGTTTTTACTGTAATTTGCAATAACCTTGCATTGTTATCATCTCCCCAAAATGAATGGGGAAGCAAACCAACAAAAATCAACAGCAAAGCTATAAAGAAACTGAATATGACGATTGCCCCAAAGACACGCACGGTTTTTAAGATAGCCTTGATTAGCCCTACATATTGCGATTTAATGTGTGTGAAGAAACACACGACAGCTCTTAGTCTGACAAAAATGGTCAGTGCTAATACAGTAGCACATATATCTGAGGCAGGAACACTTTGTGCAATCATGTATGCCAGACATGCAGTAACAAAAGGAATCATCAGAGGCATAATCAATAAAATATTTAATATATATGATATAAAGTTTCCATATGCCTGCTGTCCATCTGTGCTTCCAAAGGCCATCATAGCTACTCCAGTGATTATTGTAAGAATGGCCGTTTTTGGTGTTTTCAGTTCAGATGTGATGCCAGTTATCATCCCCCACTGACCTAGACACAGGTCTTCATCTCGTAAACCAAAACCCCAAAGGCACATTATTGCTGCTCCTATGATGGTGAGAGGTTGAGCATGTCTCAGTGTGTTAAAGGTTGCTGACAGTAGTCCAGGAAATAAATTCTCCAGTTCAAGTTCGGCAATCTCTTCGTCCATTCCAATAGCCACTGTTAATGCTGTAATAAAAACAGCTGTGTGTAGCAATGCAAAAGGCACCACTGCACAAAACACAGTCTGTCCTAATGCTTCAGCCAGTAGAACAGTAGACAACAGCCCGAGAGAACAACCTGAACCTATCCCAAAAAGAAAGGCAAGGACTGACCCTGAAATGCAGAATTGTCAGTCACTTTATTTCTGTGATGAGATGAGAACAGCTGCTATTTTGAGCTTGAACGGCTTGTTATCAGTACTGCTTAAAATGTGAAATTTTGTCTTAAAATCAGTTTAGAGCGATCAGGACAACCTCTCTAGACTGACCTAAATCTAGTAAATATTCTTTAAATGTCAGAGTTCGGTACACTTACCAAAGACAGTTTCTATCAGTGTTTCCATGATGGTCCTTGGGGGAGAGAATTGGGTAAACGAGTTTGTGTAACAATTACTTTAAGGTGCTTTGTTCAAGCCAGTCCGAGCTGCTAGGAAGGAATCTGTGTTTGTGTACAGCACATATGGGAGTAACACTTCTGTTAACAAATGAACTATGCAGAAGATCTTGTTAAACCATGAAAACCTTGTCAGACTGCTAAGCACTTCAGCTTAATTATTTTTGGCAGTGGTGTGTATGCCAACTGCAATGCTACAATCACTGGATTGGTTTGGTGCGGTGGAGTGGGGTATGCGTGGTTATGAACGAATGAATGAAACGCATTTGTCCGTGTTTCACTCCGCCTCGAATCGCGCTCGCAGAAAGCGCTTGAGAAACAGTGTCTCTTACGTGGCTCGGTACACTTTCAACTCAATTTTGTTTCGTCTCGAGCAAGACGACATTCACATTACATGATTTGACTGATTTTTACATAGAAAGGGTGACAGTGCATCGCATTAAAAGAAATGAGCATTCATGTTTGCATAACCGCTAGCCAAATTCAAAAAACGAAACAAAAATTAAATCATATTTGAGAGCAAGGGGGCCCCCTGGTGTTTCGGGGGCCCTACGCAGCTTGCGTATTTTGCATATAGGGAGGATAAATACAAAATATTGTTAAATTTATGTATTGAATTTATGTATTTGAATTACAAAAGCCATATGGTTAAATTAGGGACTTTATGAATAATTGGCTGCCATTTTGTCAATAACATGTCATCATGTGATCAATAAAAAATATCTGCAGTCTGATTATGAGAATTTTAAAATGCAATATGATCTAATTAACATGATCGTGTGAACGTAAAGTTTCACAAACATTATTGTACTACATTTTTTGTCTACCCAAGTAAGGGTGCATTTTGAACAGACAACTACCCTTAAACTCACACCTTATCGGCTGTCCAATGTTTTGAACGTTACACTATTCACAAAGTCAACCTTAATGTGACTCTGCATGTAAAACTGGGGTATGAGTATTTTAATGTCACAGAAATTACACCCTTCACCTCCTACATGAATATATCAGTGTACTGACCGTTTATCCCCAAGCACATACTTTACTAAAACACACACTCACACAGACACATAAACAGACACACACACACACACATGCACACACACTCACACAGACACAGACACACACACACACACACAAACAGACACACCCACACCCACACACACACATAAAATATAGCAGGGAACATAATGCAATGTAAAACATCATTCAGCAAGCAAAACATGTTTTTGTTTTTTTATTGATTCTTTTCTACGTTTTTTTTTTCTCAATCCACAATTTCATATTAGTCACTACTATGTTAGATCACCTTCCTCTGCCACCAACAGCAGTCAGCTACTGAAAAGACCAAACCAGACCTTCTCCCCACCTCTCCCCTCTCACTGGTTAATATTTATGAATTCACACACTTCTGGTGGAACAAAAAAAAAAAGTGCATGTCAAACGTAGTGAATTTTTGAGCAGCGCATCACTGTTAGGGAATACTTTATGCTTATTTCACAGTGTCAGTATATCTTCACAAAATATTAATTTTTAAGACATCAATGCACACACACACAAACACACAAAACAAAACTATTGCCCTGATCCCTGTACACAGTTAGGCCGTCCTAAAAGAGCCACATCATTGCTGATGCAGATGTTTGGCTGCGCAGGGAGCGATGGAGAGCAGGTCTCACGGTTTGATCTCTCCTTAGAAACACAACATCTCTAGTTCTATCTGTACAACATTCAAGAGACACATTTTGTTCATGTTTTTTTGTTTGTTTGCTTAGTTTTTTTTTCTTCTTCCATGAAACAATACAGAACAATGATAATAATTATGAGCAGAAGAGCTGGATTTCATCTCATCGGCATCAAAGTAACATCATAGATATTAAAGTAACTTCTATAAAGGCCTCGGAGCTAGATAGTACGTAAGCTTTCAGTGGTGCATATGCTAAGGGGGGGGGGGGGGGGGGGGGGGGGCGCCCCCCATGTCCCCCGCGTAATCTATGCCTCTGGGCCAGTGGCTTGTGTTATCAAAGCGGACATCTGCTACAGGTGTTGCATCCCGTTTGTGTTTCCGCTGCAATTCCGCAGGTGGAGGTGAGGTACATATGGCATGAATTGCGTTCACTGACAAGAAGACAGGAACAAGAGAACAGTGTTCAAGAAGGCCCCGAGACAGGCAGGCTTAGACTAGCATACAATACTGGATATCTCTATGTGATTAAGAGTCTCTCTCTGTGTGTGTGTGTGTGTGTGTGTGTGTGTGTAGAGGTAATCGATCACTAACCAAGGGGGCTAGGAGGATATATTAAGGGGAATGTTTGATTTAAATACTTTTGCAGGTTATCTGTTTACTGATACTGTACAGTATGTTAGCATAGCGACTGGTCTGCCCTTTGTTTGAATGATAAGAGGGACCCTGGACAACTGTATTCCCCAAATATTTATCTCCTGCTGCTATGTCCAAACTCATCCAGGGCGCTTGTTAGATGTTATTTCCCCAAGACACCTTCCTCCTCCTTGAGCAGATCCTCAGCCGCGAGGTCTGATGAAATAAACCCAGCCCTTCTGCTCTGATACTGTGGTACACTTCCAAAGCTGCCATTTGCTTCCAGGTCATCCTCCTCCTCATCAACTTGCTCATCTTCCTCGTCCAGGTCCTCTCTCATATTAAGTCCCTTCTCTGTGGCACCGACGCTTCCCACAGCTCCAGGGGTCAGTTCAAAACTGTCCTCTGTGTTCCTGTTCTCTGGGCTGACTCTGTTCTCAGCTCTTGTCTTGGACAAGACCCAATCCTCAGGGGATGCTACTCCATCCTCTGCACCCAGGAACTTCCATAAAGCCAGTGGATCATGGTCCGGCCCAGCCAAAGTTAGTCTTGGAGAATGATTGGTGGAAGCGAGAGGGGCTCCCCTCTTGCGACGAGACTTGCTGGTGTGATTAACCTGAAGGTGCATGGCCATCAGCTCAACAGAAGAGGTCCGGAAGGGACAGAAGACACATTGATTGAGGATGTCATTCCCTCCTTTAGAGCCACCTGATGGTCCACCTATAGAACTACTCACTCCCCCTTCATCTTGTAAAGGGCGGCGGGAAAGGTCCAGAGGTTCAAAGCCTCCTTCCTGGGACCCACTGGACTTCATCCCGCTCTGGTAGCCATTTGCTGACATCATGCGGCTTGTAGTAAGGGGTTTTCGTCGAGACACTTTGGGCATTTTCGGAGGTGGTACCTCCCCAATCCAACTTGGTTCTAGACCGCCAGCAAAGAGTGTACCCATCATTCCTGACAGACTGAGATACTGACTCTCCACGTCTCCCTCTCTTTGACGTCCAGATGCAGTAGTGCCCTCCTTCTCTGGCGGGCTTGCAGCCCATGACCGACTGTGCCTTGAAGAAGGAGCCTCTCCAGGATCCCTCCCAAAAGAAGACTGGGACATGGAGGGGAGACGGCGCTTTTTCACCCCTTCATGAGGAGAGCCAGTCAGAGAGGGGAAGCTCAGTGATGGGGAATTTGTGGTGGTTGCCATAGCGTTCCTTTGCTCACGATGATGACGCTGAAGGTGGTACTTGAGAGAGCCGGACTGGGTGCCAGCATAATCACAGTGTGGGCATTTGTATGGTCTCTCACCTAAAACAAGTAATAAAGCACTCTTGTTAAGTGATTAACCTGAAGGTGCATGGCCATCAGCTCAACAGAAGAGGTCCGGAAGGGACAGAAGACACATTGATTGAGGATGTCATTCCCTCCTTTAGAGCCACCTGACGGTCCACCTACAGAACTACTCACTCCCCCTTCATCTTGTAAAGGGCGGCGGGAAAGGTCCAGAGGTTCAAAGCCTCCTTCCTGGGACCCACTGGACTTCATCCCGCTCTGGTAGCCATTTGCTGACATCATGCGGCTTGTAGTAAGGGGTTTTCGTCGAGACACTTTGGGCATTTTCGGAGGTGGTACCTCCCCAATCCAACTTGGTTCTAGACCGCCAGCAAAGAGTGTACCCATCATTCCTGACAGACTGAGATACTGACTCTCCACGTCTCCCTCTCTTTGACGTCCAGATGCAGTAGTGCCCTCCTTCTCTGGCGGGCTTGCAGCCCATGACCGACTGTGCCTTGAAGAAGGAGCCTCTCCAGGGTCCCTCCCAAAAGAAGACTGGGACATGGAGGGGAGACGGCGCTTTTTCACCCCTTCATGAGGAGAGCCAGTCAGAGAGGGGAAGCTCAGTGATGGGGAATTTGTGGTGGTTGCCATAGCGTTCCTTTGCTCACGATGATGACGCTGAAGGTGGTACTTGAGAGAGCCGGACTGGGTGCCAGCATAATCACAGTGTGGGCATTTGTATGGTCTCTCACCTAAAACAAGTAAAAAAGCACTCTTGTTAAGTAGATTGACTAAACTAAAATGGGATTTCAATAACAGAAATTTGGATAAGAATAACAATGCTTCATTAGGGAGGCTGCTGTGGTTAAGTAAAACATTGCCTATGTGAAATGGCTATATGCAGTTACACACAGTAATAGATAGATGGCAGTGCTTGTCATCATATGCAACATCAGGTGTAGTCCCCAGTGCATTACAGTTAAATTAGGACATTCTATCTTTCATCAACCATGAGATCACTGAATTTTTTTTTTTTTTTTTAGTAGATGACATTTTGTGGATAAACCTGATAGCAAATGGTTTCAATCAAGCTAAATCAGGAAAATTATCATACAGGGGTATACAATGTAATTAATAAAAATAACTAATAATAAAAATAATAACCACTAGCAAAATCATCATCATCATTTCTGTGAGATTTCTGCAGTGAAAATGCTTTATCTAAATGGACACATAATGTAAGACATCCAAGTAGAATAAAATAAATACTAAATATTTGAACATTAAATAGATAAAAATAAATAAAAACACTATTTTTACAGTATTTTCCAATTTGAGATTGGTGTCTATACAGTATTTTGCTACAAGTGTAATCCACACAACATATCAAACTAAAATTAGGACTAGGCATGATTATGTAGCTTTTGACTACCATTGTTATACAGTAGGATCAATATAAAATAATGTTACTGTAGATTAATATGTAATCTAATATTATATATCTTAATTTCTGTTTTATAGGTTTAGTGAAATATAATTATTTCCAAATGGCTCCTGGGACCCTCTTAAGTACACCCTGGTGTGCACATGCCACTTGGTTGAGAATCACATTTCTACTGTTCATGTTGGCCTTACCTGTGTGTACACGGAGGTGCACTTTAAGGTGATGGGAAGACCGGAAGGCTTTACCACAGTAGGGGCAATCCTTCATCCCTGTTCCCTGAACAGGCTCTCTTGAAGATGAAGTGGAAGAGGATGACCCCCTTAGACCATTCTGACCTTGAGATAACATATAATGAATAAAAGCAATTGCTTTGAAATAGAATCTGAGACTACACTGTTTCTAAAAACAATCATGCCTTCCTGAAAAACAGGGAGGAAATGTTCGAAAACTAACATCAGTGAAAACCCCCCCCCTAAAATAAAATTTGCGTCCTGCAATGTAATAGCCTATGAAGGATTGTAACAGATAAGAAATATTGTACTGATAAAGTCATCTGTTTTTTATTATGCTGGTTGATCCTTACCAGAAAGATGTGATATGACAGAATGGAAGCTCCCAGCTGTCCCGACTCCTGATGGTAGTTGCTTTCCCTCCTGCCTTCCTTCATTGTCACTAGTTATTTGTCCTCCTCCTACTCCACCTGTTGCCTGAGCTCCACTCACTCTGTTTATAATGTCCTCTTCCCTGGACATGCCCCCTCGGGGACTTTGATCTTTCTGTGATTTCTGGACATGGACACGGGCATGAGCAACCACCTGCTGAAGGCTTCTGAACAGCTTGCCGCAATCTGGACACTCCCAAGGTGGACTAGATCCCTCTAGCTCCTCTCTAGAACCCAATCCACCTAGGTAGGCCCTCAACTGCTTGGCTTCCCCAGCAACGGTGCCTCGTGAGGAAGGTAGCTCATGGTGTGAATGAGATCGCTGCTGCTGTTGCTGATGGTTGTGCTGTGCTGCTACCAGACTGCGAGCAACCAGCTGCCACATGGCTGCCTTGTCTGCTCCGTCTGCTGCGTCCCCTCCCCGTCCTCCACCATTACCCATTCCTGCAATCTGTGCCACTGCCTGAAGGCGCTCCATGCAACTTCCATTGCTGTTGTCGTTGGGTAAGCCCAAATAACCTAATATAGAGGATTTGCTTGAGCCTGCACTGGCATCTGACCGCTCCGTGCGACTTCCTGAACCACCGCCACCAGTCATACTGCGAGCCAGGAGCAAGTTAGAATACAGGGCCCCCAGCACTTGTGTGCTTGCTGGACCTTTGGATTGCTCATTTCCAGCCGGGCCCAGATTTCCCAATCCAGCTTTGAGGCCCAGTTTGTTGAGATGAACCTTCATATGGTTCTTTAGAAACCAAGGTTCCTTGAAGCCACGGCCACACACCTGGCACTTGTGATCCAATGAGTCCTTGTGCTTCCGCATGTGCCCTTTCAAAAACCAGGACTGAGTAAAACGCTGTCCGCATGTCTCACATCGGAAAGCTGGAACAACTGGTATTTGTGAGGGAGGAGTCTCTGTTGGTGCTGTTATAGGGGGAGAAGGGAAAACCGTTTCAATGACAGGATCCTCAGGTGGGTGGCTCTCCTGCAGATGGGCAGCCAGGCTTTCCTCCTGACTGGCTGAGAAGGGACACATTGTACATTTGTAGGGGTTGTGGAGGATCCGCACATGACGTGCCAGCTCTGAAGCTGTACGGAACTTACCCTTACAAGCATGACACCGGAAGGCAGAAGCAGCTGTGGAGGGGGTGTTGTCTTCCAAGTGGGCATGGCCAAGTGGAGAGAAGGAAGTTGAGATTGGTGCTTCCTCTGTTAGAGGTGGAGTCAGGGCTGTGGTTCCTTCAAAGAGGAACTGAGGGCTGCTAGCAGTTTGAAGAGGTTCCTCTGGAACCATGTCTTCATCTATACTCTTTTGTAATGACCCAGATAATGAACTCTGTTTCAGCCCAAGCTCTCTGTTGTTGAGATTCTGGATTACACTGTCGCCCACATGGTTTTGCTGCAGTTTGGCATGTGTGGTCCGGTAGGAAGCTGAAGCTTGACGCTCCCTGTCTAAACTGTGTGCTCGAGCATGCAGAGACAAAATACTCTGGAAGCGGAACCTCTTTCCACACACATGGCACGGGAACCTTAGGCCAGGCCCAGAGCTTGTCCCTCCGGGGACAGCCATGCCCTCATTGTTGAAAAGCTGAAGATCCAGCTCATCATCACAGGTGGTAATTTGACCAGAGGAGATCGCCTGTTCCAGAGCTCCAAAACCAGGAAAAGGTGCTAATGGTGTGGCTGGGGGGCTGATGTCTGATGAGGGACTGCCAAGCTCCAATTCACCAGGAAACAGCGCCACCGCTGGGGTGGGTGATGGGGGCATTGACAACTCCTCATCCTCCTCCTCATTTTGGAGGCTGGCCTCAGGAAGGGGGCAGGGTGATACTGGAGCATAGAGTTCAGTTTGAGGGCTAGAAGGGGTAGATTGAGGACTCTGGGGTAGGAACTGGGGACTGTGGTCCAGGGACGGCATGGAGGGAGGAGACAATGGGGGCTCACAGGAAAGAGCCAGCATACTCTCTGGTGGGGAATCCATACTCTGATCGAGAAAATATAGACAATTGTGATTAGATCTAGATAGATAGATAGATAGATAGATAGATAGATAGATAGATAGATAGATAGATCACTCACTGTTGATGTGTCTATGCCATGCTTCAGTTCCTTGAATTAAAGAGGGTGCACTCTGATGGTGGCAATCTGCCTGACCACCTCCAACAGTCCCCTGTCAAGTACAACACAGAATAAAAAATGAGTGCACACACATTTGTTCCTGTGTACGGATCTAAGGGCAGAGCAGGACATGGACTGTCCCAAACAGGATGGGCGTGAGATGTTTGGACTTCCCCACACACCCTTCCTGCACATACACGTACAGTAGCTGCTTAAATCAAAAATACATACATACACACCTTAAAATCCATACACACAGATACAACTTCTCTCACCCCCCACCAATCCCTCATTACCTAAGCTACTCACACACACACTAACACACAATGCACTGATAGAAGTGAACAATTACATAAAGCCATACATGCATGTATTCGCATAAGCCTGCAGGAGACAGGCTAAGACACCATTTAAAAAGAAAGAAAGAAAAAACACCTGCTTCTTTTATAATTAAGAGAAAATTAATTTCATTGATGATTACAGAAAGACAATCTGCTAAACATCTGTGAGGGCGTCTGTATGCCTGGATATGTGTCACTATGCTTATGTTTGTGTGGGTGTTTTTTTTCTTCTTCAGTATTTACCTCTGTGAACAGACAGAACTGTATGTCTGTGTCTGAGTTTGAATTCATGTACACAAAAAAAAGTGTTTGTTTGTGTATTAGTGTGTGTAAAAGTATGTGTATCTGTGACATAAGACTTGGATGAAATGGTGGTTAACAGAGCCAGTTGTCATTTTAGCTCAGCCGTGACTCACAACGATATCACACTATATCAATCACACTGCCCCCCGCCCCATTTATCTTTCATTCTTGCTTTCTTTCTTTCTTTCTTTCTTTCTCTTAATCCCACCATTATTGTCCTTCTTTTTCCTTCCTTCTGCCTTTTCACTTCCATAGATTGTGATTCCACCCCCTGCACTTTTTTCTCTTTTCACCCTTATTCCCTCCTCCCTCTGTTCCTGACTGATTTTCTTTCATTCTATCTTTCCCTCTCTCACTCTCTGTCTCTCTGCAGCGGTGCCAGTTGGCACAGTGCCAGGGAATGCTGATATCAGCTGGTAGATTGGGGCCTGCCAACATGGCGAAGAGAAAAGAAAGAGAGGAGAGAGACAGACAGGCGAGATAGAGAAGAACGGGGGGTGTTAGTGAAGAAAAAATATAAATGAAGAACGCAAATACGTTCTGAATGAGCATATTTGATGAGTAAATCTGTCGAGAAAGGGGACAGAGTGTTCCGCTCTGCAATGGAGGATCTTGCGATCTGTTTGGTCTGCTGGCATTATTATCATATGAATATCGTCATGGCAATGCACTGTTCCGCCTTGACAGACACATTTGTGTCTGACCAACCCTGTCACACCAATAAAGCTTCTCCAAATTTGGATAGATGGAGAGAGTGATAAGGTGCTAGACAGAGGGGGGAGGGGAGAGATGAAGGCAGGAGAGCGATAAAGCTGCATGCACAAATAATGCACACAAACACACACACACTTTTTAGGTTGAAATTCCACAAACATCACCTGATCTCCTCGATTTATATTACTCTGATCACCGGTTTCACAAAGCTTAAGCTTAATCCCAGACTAAAATGTAAGTCTGAGCTGTTTCAACTGGAAGAAACTTGCACTGACTGATCTTAAAATATATCAGTGTCTCTGTTCTGTCTCAAAATGCACACCAGTAATATTTTGTTTTAAGGCACGTTAATAAAACATACTTAAATGTCCTAATTGAACTATTGCCTAGTCCTGGCTTAGCCTAAGCCCTGTCTGTGAAACCAGGCCTGAGAGACTTGCGGACAGTTTTAAGGTTCAGTTCAAAGATGCTGAAGAGAGGATAAGCAAGTTCAAAACGTCACAATCTTGCCCATTATCTCCTTAACAGAGCATGAAACAAAGATTTCGGCATTGAAATGGTTCACTGAGGTGCTTTAAAAAAACAAACACATAAAACGAATTCTTCTCTACTGTCAAATCGGAAGACTTCACCAAAAAACTGCACTTTTCCAGTTCACCTTCAGGTATACAGTACAAAGAGCTCTTGTTGAATCTGTGTTAACAAACTCACGTTAAAGTAAAGGCATGGTTCACACAAAATAAAAACCGTGTCATCATTTACTCACCCTCGAGTTGCTTCTAACCTGAATTTCATTCTTCTGCTTAACACAGAAGATATTTTGAAAAGTGTTGGAAACCAATCAGTTGATGTTCCGAATGATCCAGATTTATTTATGAAAACATAAATAAATAAAAATACTATGAAAGTCAATAGGGACCTTCAGATGTTTGGCTACCAACATTCTTCAGAATATCTTATTTTGTTCCACAAAATAAAGAAACTCAAACAGGTTTGGAACAACTTAAAGGAGAGTGACACATTTTTTATTTTTAAGATTAGTTTTATTATACTTGGTATGAATAGCCATCTCAGGTGATCCAATAACGGTAAATGCAGGTGTAAACGGGATCCAAAACGTGTTTGATCTGATCACTCCAACCACTTTCGAACACACTGCAACTGTGATTAATGCTCCTGGATGACAGTGATTTAAGCCTTTGGAAAACCCAAACGCATATGCATTTTTTTAGATTAATATTAAAAAGTAGTTTTTATTTGGGAGCATAAATATGCTTTTTTTTTTTCATTTTATTAACTTGCAATAAGAGCCTGACGTATATGTGATGTAATCACATATTAATAAGTTGCCCTGTCAAAACCAATGCCGGATCACCTGAGACAGAGTCAGTATCAAGAGAGCACGAGCTCTGATTCAGGTTGATCTAAAGAAGTGATCATTTTCAATCAGAATTAGTTTGATTTTGTTTTACAACGAACAGCCCACCTCTGGCCTCCACCAGTGAAACGAGCTGTAAGGTGTTCGCTGTGCGCAACAAGTGCACAAAGGCAGTGTGCTGTGCTAGAAAGTTTAGCTTCAGGCATCTGAGCAGAGCGAGGAACTCATACAGACACATATCTGCTGAATATGAACTTGGCAATGCTTATGTAAAAAAAAAAAAAAGTGGTATGTAAAGAATGGTTTGTCAAGTCACATAAAAGTATGCTTTATGAGATTTACTGACATCAGAAATGTTATCTAATGAGACTCAATGAACATAACTACATTCTGTTACACCATTCAAAAGCCTGTGGTCAAATCTGGTAAAATTACATGCAGTTGGCATTTTTTCGTGATGCATAATAACACGCAGGCATATTTGTCATGCCAAACGCACAGATACTTTGTACTGACAACCTGTTGTTCCTTTCATAAAACAAGTATATACAAATGTTTTCCTTAATTGCAAGCATGTGGTTTTGATCGTTCATGAACATGAGTAAATCCCAGTTCCCCAAATTCAAAGTATAGGAACCTCCACCAATGAAACGAGCTGTAAGGTGTTCGCTGTGCGCAACAAGTGCACAAAGGCAGTGTGCTGTGCTAGAAAGTTTAGCTTCAGGCATCTGAGCACAACGAGGAACTCATACAGACACATATCTGCTGAATTTGAACTTGGCAATGCTTATGTAAAAAAAATAATAATGTGGTATGTAAAGAATGGTTTGTCAAGTCACATAAAAGTATGCTTTATGAGATTTATTGACATCAGAAATGTTATCTAATGAGACTAAATGAACATAACTACATTGTTACACCATTCAAAAGCCTGTGGTCAAATTTGGTAAAATTGCATGCAGTTGGCATATTTCCGTGATGCATAATAACAGCAGGCATATCTGTCATGCCAAACGCACAAATACTTAGTACTGACAACCTGTTGTTCCTTTCATAAAACAAGTATATACAAATGTTTTCCTTGCAAGCATGTGGTTTTGATCGTTCATGAACATGAGTAAATCCCAGTTCCCCAAATTCAAAGTATAGGATGTATGTTAGTGCAAATTATGCCATTCATATTTGTGCATCCAGACCGAAAATCTGTGGATGATTGGGTCAAATTTTAAGCCACTTCAACAGCTCATCCAGACGTGCTGTCCGCGCAGATGAGCAGGAGCAGATCTGGTTGTAAGAGTTGTACAGGGCCCTGTTCGGCCACATCTCTGCGCTGCTCTGCCCTCTTTCACGTCAGTTCAGGGGGCAGGTCTCATTCCGTCACCCCTCACGCGAGCACATACGAGGGCAGAGATAACAGCCTTATGCCCCAAATCTGTGCCAGCGTTAAATAATGGCAAGGAATGGCACCTTATGTGATTTGCATTTACATGCATGCATAAAGTTTCTTGGCGGGATGTATTTGCAGGACATCAGCCTGTGGAGAGGACATTCCTCGCGTGATGTGCGTCAGTAACGCGCAACCATTTTCAGTCGCCTTCCCTCTCTCGCGGCCATCTCAATTAAAAAGGCACATTAATGAAATAAATAAATGCTCACAAACAAATGCGCGCACGACCACGATTAAGCCCGAGCATGAAAGCGCGATTTACAGAAGCAACACAAGCATCGCTTTCCCAAAACGGAGGCAGAAACGCAGCTTTTGGGACGGGATGTTGTGCGCTCCATTTTCTTCCTGATTTTCTTTCAACAGAAGATGAAGGGAGGGGGAAAGCACACGCGATCAGGGTGCAGCTGAAAAGTGCCATCGTGGGGTTTCATCTGGAAACCCGCTGCCAATCTCGCCGCCATCGTGACAAAACACTGTGTGAAACTTTACGCTTTCAGGGCTCGTTGGTAAAGCTGGCAGCTGCAGGTTTTGCGCTACAGTTTAAACAGCGATTACGAGCGCGCATCTGCGAGGTGACTCTAGGACAGGCAGAGCGCGTGCAGTTCCAGCTATTATATTAACACGCACCGAACGCTTTCACATGTTTTTCGTCAAAGTTATTAATACGCTGCTTTTCAGAACTGATCTGTATCGACCTTCACGAACTAAGTTCAAGCATGCGGGTTTTGACGCGGAACAAACTGGAGCAGAACTAACCAAAGCTTCTCATAAAGTATACAACTCCGCGATGTTGCTGCAGTGGAGAAATGAACAGTCGCTTCTCGCTCTAAAAAAAACTTCAAACGTCTACAATCAGCTTGTTCCGCTCAGTTCGGGGCACTTTTTTTCCACACTCGAGGCTCTGAAAATATTCAAGGGCCTTAAAAAACGAAAGTTGCATTTTCATGCGCGAGTCTCGCATCTCTTTCAGGACACACAAGCATGCGCGCGCTCTCTCTCTCTCACACACACACACACCGGCAACATACACGGCACGAGACAAAAGTGAGGAAGTGTGTATGCGCGAGAACACGTATGATGCGCCCTAACAGAGACACACGAGACGAGACGCCAATCAATGTCCCGGTGCATGCACGTGAAAGAAAACGCGACGACCATTCAGTCTCCATGGCTTTGCATCACCCGGATCAGCCCCCCTCCCCAAAAAAAAGTCGTCGTCGGATATTTGTTGTTTGTGAAGGCGACAGCAATCGCTCTTTATACGTCTCAAACTGCACGCGCACTCGCGAGCGATGTGCATCAGTAAAATCGCTCAAAAAGCGCAGATTAGGTCAGTTATTTGAAAGGAATCGGGTGTTTTGTGCTGAAAGTAAGGCTGAATGTACTTACGGGAGAGGCGGCGAGGAGATTAATGACAACACACGTCATGATTACGTTTCACTTGAATTAAATACATTAGGAGTTAGGGGGAAAAATGGAAATCGGGGGTAGTTGTATACAAGCATACGCCGATGCCCCCTCCCTTCTGCCCTCTCTATCTTCTCCTCCTCCTCCTCTCTTTCCTCACACGTCTCTCTCTCTCTCTCTTCTCAAAGATCCATTTATTGTGCAGTCGTGAGTGAGTGAATGAGAGAGAGAGAGGCGGAGGCTGAAGGTTGCAAATGTAATTATAATCTCGCAGAGGCACCATTTTAAAACGATCTCTAGATTTGCGGGATGGACTTCTGACTCGCCGCGCGCTTGCAAATCGCGTGCGAGTGTCTCGCGGGGCTCAGATTTGCATCGAGCGTTTTTTTGAAGATCGTGAACGCTTCTTCGTAACTTTGGTGGCCGTCAGAAAGGGCTTCTTCTGCGGGTTTGTGTTGCGAGCTGCTTGAGATTGCGCTCCACGTGGAAGCTGCGCAGGTGCGCGCGCGGGTCATCCACTATTCCAGCTACTGACGGATGCATGAACTATACAATAAATACATAAATGCATTTACTACTAATGCATTTGTAGCATTATTGGCACTTTTCTGTAAAACAAGAAATAATAGCAAAGTCAATAATAATAATGTATCTCTATATATACTCTAAATAGACTATATATATATATTCTTATAGATATCAATATGCATCTGATATTTACCCTCTATTGACCTGAGATACATGAATAAACAAATAACCACCTACTGTTATTTGTTTAAGCCAATAACAGAAAAGCTTTGTATATGAGATTCAGTACATGTTTCCTATGACAAGAATTAATAACTTAAATAATAACAACAACAACAACAACAAATCATCATTATTATTATCATTATTATTATTATTATTATTATTATTATTATTATTATTATTATTATTATCTAAATATACCCCCCACACACAATATATATATATATATATAGTCTGCTGTTTGACCTGAGATCTATGAATAAACAAACAAATAATACATAACCAGCTACTGTTATTTTTAATTTAATTTGTATTTATTTATTTGTTTTTTTAGGCCTATTTGCAGATAGAAAACCAGATTCGGCACCTTTGCACCTTTTGAAAATTAATTAAATAGTACAGGTTGAACTCCTAATGCATTTGGAGCATTTCACTGCATCAATAATTAATAAATTAATAAATAATAATAATAAATATAGCTGCAAGCAGCAATTACCGGGGTTCAAGCATATGAAGGCATTGAAGGTGGTTTATTTTAAGGTCTAGGCCAACATGGATGTATGGCTGACAGTAAAACACATCCAAAATGTAGAATATGCTCACACACACACACACACACACTGAAATGAAATGATTAAACTAGTTTATTAATACTCAATAAGCTTACTTAAACATACAGACACAGAGACACACACACATACACAGTTATACATGCACACACATTTTGTTTTAGATATAGATATTTGAAATAATTGATAGGTGAAACAAAACTTATTGCAAGTCTTCTCTTTTTAAGAGTGTATATTTCATTTTCAGGTTTCACTGTAATCATAATCTGGCATAATTGTAAAAACTGATATGTCTGTATGAACAAAATGGTAAACTTTGACTTTTAACTCATCTTTAAATGTTATAACAGTGATTTTATAAT